GAACTTGAACTCCTCCTCTTATGCTTCTTTTCCTTCCTTCTGTCTTTGTCTCCTTTCTTCTCCTTCTTCTCCTTCTTCCTCTTCTTTTTCTTGTCTTTCTTGTCAAGGTTTTGGCGAAGCTATTTAAAAACAACCAAACAAATACAAATATTTACATGATAGAAATCATCAGCCTGTAATAATAATGCTTTTTAGGATGTTATATCTCATTAACCTACACCGATACCAGCTTTTTGGACCTTAACGTTACCATTTCTTTAATTTTCTTCATCTTTACTGGATTAGTCAGGACTTCTCTCTTCTTTGCTTCCTCACGTTTCCTTTACAACACCAACAAAACACAAACATGATCATCTGCAAATTTAACAATATCTTCAGAACAAATCAAAAGAGAATGGCACATTCACTCACCTGATTTCAAACAGGGGGTCTTCCCTGATCTTGGCAGCCAAATCGAGGCTGGAAGCAGGGGTGGCGGGGTTAAATATGGACCCAGGCAGGAGGCCTGTCTCAGCTGAGGGACCGCTCTCTGGCTCCTCATACTGGTCAGTGATCTGCTTGTCAATGGGGCGCCCAAGCAGGTACTCATCCCTGGACACCTGACCGGCAGGGCCCTGGTACATCCAGTCCAACCGATCATCTTTTTTTCTGTCACCATCCAATAAAAGTACAGCATATCTCAGACACAACGTACTTCTTTGTACCATTAACTTATCGTTCCTCATAACACAGGAGATAACTCACTTTAAGACGCCGGTTTCCTCCGCATATTTTGTCATTTCCTCTCGGGCTCGTTCCTCCTTCAGCTGCTTCTGGAGCTCCTCGATCTTTTTACGTTCAGCCTCATGTTTCTGCTCAGCTTTCCAGACACGCTCAATGTTTTTCATAGTCTGGGGGTGCCAGCTCTTTTTCAAGTTCTGGTAGAAAACACGTCAAAACCATCAACGGCTACATCATTGGAAACCACCAGGAGCTCCCTTTGAATATCTATAGTCGAAGCCTTTAACATCTATAGTTCTTAATTTGACAACAAAATCTATAATATTTCATATCTATAAGTACATTCGACACAGAAAAAATAAGTAAAATATTTATAAAAGGTTTCTGATCTAAAAATGTACTCATATTTATAATCCTCAACTAGTTCAGAATAAGAAGACCGAAATTAAAGGAATTATGGCCGAACTTAACTATGCTTCCTACAGAATTCCAAAAGCTTTTAATTCAAGCCCTAAATGTCTGTGTATGACATGTAAGCAAACATCTATAAATTAACCATTAATTTCAATGGAGTTTGGTATTAGCGTTGTTTCTTCCCCGGCGCATGCGCCCGTAGTAAAAGATTAAGACTCAGACTTACCAGATCGCCGCCTCCCATCTTGAAAAACGTTTCTTTTCAGTCCCAAAGAGAAATGGAAATGGCCAAAACTGACCGTTAGCGACTGAAGGTGAAACCACCAAAGTTTTTCACCAGCTGGAAAATGGAGCTGCCGACGCTTGAGTGTGACGCGTTTTGTGTATATCCTGTTTTTAATATTTCGTCTTCCGGTTTTAGCTCATGGTGCTTTCATGGTACTCAAAAAACTCAGTTAAATAAGGTGCTTTCGGTGGCAAGCATAGACTACATGTGTAAAATCTTTATTAAAATTATATATGTGTGTATTATTATATTACACATATAGGTTTCTATATTAAAGGCACTATTATACATAGTCATTTTTTTAAATGAAAATAAAACCGATATACAGTCTACTGCTGAAACTGACTTAAAATTACAACAATATATTTTTTTCCAACTAAGAAGCCTTTAATGAAGCCATTAAAATCCTGCCATGAGTTCTGCCTGTTTAAATATTTATGTTGTCCCTGAACGCAACACCCTCAGGGGGTTAATTTGGGTCATTTAGACTTTTATCCTTAGATGCGTCTTACCAAGATTTACGGTGTAAAATATGACTAAAACTTCAAAGTAATAAAATCTCCCATCAAAGGTGAGTCATAAGTAATTTTTTTAAATATATTTTCCAGAAAAACAATTTTTTACCAGTCAAACTGACAGTTCTGAAAGTAACCATTTCCACACAATTAATTATTAAAATATTTTGTTTTTAATACTTTGGTAGGAAAATTGTATTTTTAAATCAATGTTTGCCTTACAGTTTATTATTTTAGTTTAATTTAAAGAATGTCTGTATTTTATTACAGACCTTCTGTCTGTTGTGTGGCCAAACAACTGTTTGTTTGTTTGTTTCTCAGCTTAATATTATTTGCATATTGGCCATTTTATTAGTTACACCTTCCTAATATCACTGGACTCCCTTTTTTGCTGTCTCAAATCTTTGTGGTGTAGAATCAACAAGGTGCTTAAAACATTCCTTGGGGATTTTGGTCCATGTTGACACGATAGCATCCCAAGCTGCAGATTTGTCAGCTGCACATGATGAGAATCTCCTGTCCTACCACATCCCAAAGGTGCTCTATAGGACTGAGATCTGATGACCGTGGAGGTCATTTGATTACAGTAAACTCACTGTCATGTTCAAACATTTTGTGTCAAGGTGTGATATACCCCAGGAAGCAGTCGCCAGAAAATGGGTACACTGTGGATGGACAAACCATCGAGGTCAGGGTGGAACAGAATGAATGATCAAATATATTTTCAGATACAATCCCCTTCATGAGTAAAGTCATCTGGAGAAGAAATCAAATAAATAATTGTTGTGAAAAACCTATCTTTAAAAATGGTCCATTGTGAGAAAGAAATTCAGACTCGTAAGCAAGATGATTGCACATCGTTCTCACTTTCCTTCCTCCAAATTAGAGGCGGGGTTTAGAAGGTGGCAAGAAAGGGACTTCTAATGTTGGGTCAGCTATTTGAGGCAGACGAGCTGATGTCTTCTGAACAGCTTCAGCTCAAACATGCAGCACATGCTTTTTCAGAGGTATTTATAGCTGAGAGCCTACATGTACAGAAACACAAAGAACGGGACAAGCTATGTGCCACAGCACCAAGTATGGAGCAATTCTTTATGTTAACAATCAAATGAGCT